GGCAGTTCCAACCCCCATTGAGGCTTCGGCAACTGTCATGCCTACAGGGCGGGGCCAAGGGAGGCGCCGAGAGACCCGAGATCTGGATGAGCCAGTGCTCTCTCTGTTCCGGGACCATGGACGGTGGAGGTGGACCGAGCAGAGCTCCAGAGAACACCACTGGACTGTGATACACTTTCCCCAGACCCTGCGACCTACCTATCCCTTCATTTGTAAGTTACCCACTAAATAAATCTTCCTTTTAACTACGTGGAGTGGCCTTAATAATTTCGCCAATAAATTGGTCAATTTTGTCATTAGTCATTAGTTAGCTTCTTTACTGACTCTAATTAATAAATTAAACTTTATTCTAGCTATGCATGCATAGGACAAATTCCAGTATATAGAGGATTCTGTAGGAGTTTGAGAATGAGAACCCTTCGGTAAGGGGCACCCTGCACATGCTTCCTGTGTACACATGGGGATTGAATGGGATGGTATGGCTGAGGCCTTTACCAAAGGCTGCTTACTGAGGTCATAACTAATATCTAGCCAGGAAATCAAATGTGCTGAAGAGTGATTTTGTTTAGAGAAGTGTTTCTTTCTTTATTTTTTAGTTTTTCGAGACAAGGTTTCTCTGTGTAACAGTCCTAGCTGTCCTGGAACTCACTCTGTAGACCAGATTGTCCTTGAACTCAGAGATCTGCCTGCCTCTGCCTCCTGAGTACTGGGATTAAAGGTGTGCGCCACTATGCTAGGCTAGAGAAGTGTTTCTTAATTTTTCCCACTCATGACTCTTTCACCTGAGACATTTTAATATGTCTCAATTATTTAGGTCTCTGGCATGTGTTATGTAACATAGACAGCACATGCTGGCTCCAGAGAAAGGTCTTACACCCATATACATACAGAAGGCACTAACTGAACTCAGGGAATTATAAAAGAAAAAAATTTAAAAAGACATGAAGTTGGGAGAGGGACAAGGTAGGAGGGTCTAAGAGGAGCTGGGGGGCGTGGTGTCTAGAAATGATCACAATACACTGCATGGCGCTGGAGAGAAGGTTACTCTCGAAGAGGATGCAGGTTGGGTACTCAGAACCATATGGTGGCTCAGAACCAACCAAAACTCCAGTTCTAGGGAATTAATGCCCTCTTCCTACCTCCACAGGCACATGCATGATGCGCACACAGGTACAGGCAAAACACTCATACACACATATACACATATATTAAATATACATGTATTTGCACACACAGATAAGGCAAAACACTCATACACACATATACATATATATTAAATATACATGTATTTGCACACACAGATACAGGCAAAACACTCATACACACATATACATATATATTAAATATGCGTGTATTTGTTTTTTGTAATAACACATTATTTTTCTATAAGAGCAGAAAACTTTCCATGCACTGTAAAAATACCACAAATCACATCACACAATAATCTTCAATCTGAGCCGGCGTGTTTCAAGAGTTTGTAAGTTCAGAACCAAGGCTCTAGTGAAGTCACATGATGCTACAGGTGTAAGTGAGCCATCAGAAACAGCTCAGACTCATGACATGGCAGAATTTGAGTTAAGTTTGTTGTTGTTTAAGAGGAACCATTGATACACACACACACACACACACACACACACACACACACACACACATCTCCCTGGCTGTCCTGGAACTCACTATAGACCAGGCTGGCCTCTAACTCAGAGATTCCCCTGCCTCTGCTTCTGAAGTTTAACCCCCCCCCCACTGGGTGAGAATAAGACCACCACCACAATTTTTGAGACAAATTTGAAGCAAGCTTTATTAAATATTGACCAGGATGATGGACACTGGCCAGGTCCATACCCAGGATTCTCAGAGAACAGCAGTGAATTACATTAGTCAGGTGCTTATAAAGGCAAAATCCATAATGCTTTGTACTTCTCATCTTCGCCCAGTCAGGGGCAAGCATACATCCTGACATACTTCCTGCCTACGTACCTCCTGCCTGTGTGTGATCAAGCACATCCTGTGCAGTTGGGGCAACCAAGCTTGTTTACAGACGTGAAAACACGTGGCTTGTTATCTTACATGAGCAACAGGCCCCAGCATTCCAGGAAGTTATCTGTCCTTGGGCAAGTGGGGCTTATACATTAGAGGCATTTTTGTTTTTATAGATCTCTTAAGCACAGTAATTTAAATGTAAAACATAACTTTAGCCATTACATTGCCTTGCCCAAAGTCACATGCCACACAAACCGGGTCCCAGGCTCCCAGTCTTTCAGGTCCTGTCGCCTCTGAGAGCAGAGTCTCTTAAGCTTTGATAGAAAATAGTACCTGAATCCCAGCAGTCAGGGGGCAGAGGTGGTTGGATCTCTGTGAGTTCTAGGCCAGTCTCGTTAACATAGTGGGCTGCAGGCCAGCCAGGACTACATAGTGAGACCCTGCCTCAAAACAAAAACAAAAAAGGAAAGGAAGTAACTTAAGACAAAGGACAAGTGAAGCAGACTTTGTTTTTGTTACTTATCACGTGCACTACAAAAACCTAAAAACTAAGAAACTGTGGAAAGCGCCGGAATAGAATCTATCTTCCCAACGGGCGGTGGTGGCCCACGCCTTAATCCCAGCACTCGAGAGGCAGAGGCAGAGGCAGGTGGATCTCTGTAGTTCCAGGCCAGCCTGGTCTACAGAGGGAGTTCCAGGACAGCCAGGACTACACAGAGAAACCTTGTCTCAAAAAACAAAACAGAGGAAACTAAAGATGTCTGTTAGTTCGCTTTCTCTGCGGCAGGGTTTCTCTAACAGCAGATGACCCGGGACTCCTCCTGGCCCTCCTGTCTTCACCTCTGGGACACTGAGACCACAGGTAAGGTGGTTGGGTCTTTGTTTTGTTTTTCTTCTTTTGCATGTGTGGGGAGATGGGGACGGAGAATCAAACCCAGGGACAATGTACTCTATTTCTGAGCTATGCCCCAGAGCCCACCTCCTCTTCTTTTCAAAGTCCACACTTAGGTACTTTTAAGAGCAATGAGTCAGAAAACACAAATGCTTTCACAAATGCTTTTTACATTTCTGTTTAATGCTTTCAGCAGATTTGCATGCTTTCGTGTTTCTCTGTAGTTAGATAAATAATTGTTTGGTCCTCTAAAGCCGAACATTTTGCTCGAGGTGGACAAGATGGCTCAGCGGGGAAAGGTGCTTTCCACAGGAGCTGGGTTCCATTCTGGAGGAAACCTTGGGAAAGGGGAGAGCTGATTCCTACAAGCTGTGCTCTGACCTCACTCACGCAGACCAGTGGAAACGGCCCATTGCCCCCCAGAATCCCACAGTCCTTTGTTCTAGGCTGGATTTGGAGCTGGGCTTGCATACTCTGGGTCCGGATTTTTCTGCAGGCGGCAGAGCCACCCCACTCTGAGCCTCATCTTTAAAATGACAACCCCAGAGTACAGTCCCTTCCAGCTGAAAACGTTCAGGGTCTACAAGAAGTTGCCACCCCCAGGATTCCCAGGCTCAGAGAGCTGTGTGTGCCCTGTTTGTGGGGTTCCAGCCTTGCCTGGGCTGAAACTTAGAAAACTGCAGTCTGGCTGTCAGGAGGGTGAGGGTGGTGGGTTGCTCTTGTCCTGGCATCTGGCCTGGTGTCTGCCGAACCAGGCAAAGGCTGCCCACGAGGGCTGGCTGGGTGCCGGGAACTCGTCATCTTTCTATGTAAACAGACACAGGCTGTCTGTTGAGGTCCTGGAAACATCTGACCTTTTACAGAACATCTCTAGAGCTCTCAAGTGTGGAGGGAGCCTCCTGCCTTCTGTAAATGATTTAACCCTTTCCAGGGAAACCCTGAGCAAGGTTGAGAGGGGTAGGGGAAGAGAGGGGGTGAGGAACCTGTTTTTCCACGAGCTACACAAGTTCCTTTGACCTTTTTGGTTAGCAGGCAGCAAGGCAGCAACATTCTACCCAGGGACGTCTAGGTAATCTCCTCAGCTCCCCTTCTTAGGGCAGGGGGCTCCAGGAGAGCAGATAGGAGGCTCAGAGCAGGGTGGCTGTGAGGAGTATCGGGGGAACAGGGGAGGACAGGAGAGTCGGCCACACACAGAAGCAGGGGCCACCCCTCCCACTGAAGGAGTAACACACAGAACTCCTTCACCCTGGGATGTTTGCTTGTTTTGTCATTATGTTTCGACTCGAGACAGGCACCGATCTTGGCGCGTTGCCCAAGCTGACCTGCAAACCATTAACCTTTTGCCTCCTGAGTCGCATCTTGCAAGTATTTACTGGGCACCTCCCATATTCCAAGCACTGTGCATGACGTTGAGGGTCGGTGCTGAGCAAACGCAGAGAGATATGACTGGTTCCTTCCGGTATGGGAGAGTGGACCGGGGTAGAGTCACAGAAAGGAAAAGGATCGTCTCAGGACCCCCAGGACCACGTTCTCAGCACAAAGGAGGTTTATTGGACTCAGAGGGCAGGGAATAAGAGACAAAGACAGGAGATGAAGGACAAGGGAGAAGGGGAAGGGAAGAAGGGAAAGAGGAAAGGGTACTGGGGGGCAAAGGACAGCTGCTGGACAGGGAGGAGACAGACGTGGATCGTAGGCAAATGGCGGCTTATAAAGATAAAGGGGGAAACAGCATGTCAGGATGAGGTGTTTAATTTTAATTGGGCGTGTTTATTAGATGAGCCAAAGGGGGCTTTTGATTTCTAGACTTCAATACTTCAATAGCTGGACCTTGGTGGTCAGCCTCAGAAGGAGGAAGTGGCCAAATAAGGGAATAAACCTTGGTGCCTAGCTGTAGGAATGTAATCTAACGTTTTTTAGCAAGGCAGAGGGAACCTGGAAGAAGGGCGAGACCTGCCAGAACCATGCCACCATGCTCGAGCTGGTCCGAGTCCTTCATTCTGACCTTTTTCTTTTATTATTGGGTCGTTGAGTGTTGGGTGAGTGGGCATCGTTCTGTGTCTGCTTCCGGCTGATGCTGAGGGGTCCTTATTAAGGGACGGTCCTTATTAGGGGACGGTCCTTATTAGGGGACCCAAGGAAGCCGGGTTGTTGGTCAAGGTTGGGAAGAGCAGGCTGTGTCAGTCGAAGTTCAGGTTCTGTGGGACCATCTGAGGTTAGGGAATTGAGGTCTGTGAGGCCGGACCAGGGTGCAGATTTCAAGGAGCTGGAGCAGTCTATAGTTGATTTGAAATCTGTTGGAACAGATAAACTAGGGACAGAGGAAAAAAAATTTTTTTTCTTGGATATACATTTGAAACTTTTAGGTCCATGGTCCTGGTAGCTGGGAAGAGGAGTCTCAAGACAGGGAAGGGGAGCAATCCCAGGGAGAGATCCCATGGAGAGATCCCAGGGAACGGGGAGAGATCCCACCCTTAGGAATAGGCAGTGGGCAGGAAAACAGACTGTTGGTCGGCAGGAGTACTTACCTGGAGTCTGCTTGAGAGTTCTTGAGAAGAACCAGGAAATCTTAGATTGGCGACTTAAGGTTAATTGGGGAGCAACTGCAGGTTGGTCTATCTGAAAGCAGGGTCTTGCTGTGTTGGGAGAATACAATTGGAAAGGCTTCTGTTATATCAGAATTGTCTTTCCTGGGGTGTTCAGGTGGGTTCTGAAATTGAAATATTTTAGGAACATGGATGACTGGGGAGGCTTTGACAAATGGTGAGAGGGACAGCCTGTAACAAGGTTTCGGGTTGGTGTGGAAAGGTTGAGAGAACTCGGCTTTGGTTCCCAAAGGGGCACTGGGATGGTCAAGGGGACAAGTGGTCAGTAGTGGGGGTGAGGCACTGGCCCCTGGGTATGGGCAGCAAGAGGGATTGTGACTAACAGAGGACATGGAATAGCGGCGCCAAGAAAGCAGTAGGAGGTGTTGAAGGAGGTATTCTGGACAGTTCATGAATTTAGGGGAGTCGGTGGTGGTGGGTGTTTGGCGATCATTCGGGCAGAAGAAAAGTAGGAGCGCGAGAAGAGAGAGGAGCTATGTGGAGAATGGGTGATTCTCCACAGGGAGGGAATGAGGGAGGAGGAACCGGAGGTGAGCATGAATATGCCGAGGAGGGACCTAGGAGAGCCTGCAAACGTAATAGCAAATGATCATATGCAGGGGAGCAAAAATGGCTCCCCTCCACCCTTGTAGGGTGACTGAGCTTTAAATTAAATCATATGACCCATATGTTCAAAGAGGTGCAAGGGTAGCTCAGGGGAGCACCCTTGTTATCATGACCAAGGGCCCTGGGTTCGGTTCCCAGCACAACAGGCAAATAGGTGAGGGGTGGCAGTGTAGTTTAGTGATAGAGTGCTTACCTCCAAAGCACTGAGCCCTGGGTTGTACCCCCAGTATTTGGGGACAGTACGAGGAACCCTTCTTTTTTTCTTTTTCTTTCTTTCTTTCTTTCTTTCTTTCTTTCTTTCTTTCTTTCTTTCTTTCTTTCTTTCTTTCTTTCTTTTTTTTTTTTTGATATGTGGTTATGCTATGTAGCCGTAGCTGGCCTAGAATTCATTATGTAGCCCATTCTCAGCAATTCTCCTGCCTCCGTCATCCAAGTTCCAGGATTGCAGGTGTAAGCCACCATGCAAAACTTTAAAACCATATCTAACTCGCAGTGTGTGCACAAGAATTCTACAGAATGAACTGGTCAGGGTTGGGTTATTGAAGCTTCTATAGCATCCTGAGCTACACATAGGAAGGAACAAGGCTTGGAGCTTTGGAAGTCAGTGGGGACCTGGTTAGAGAGCGTGGAGGAGAGCGTACAAGACTGTAAAGTAAGGAAAGCTTTCCGGGTAATGTGTTTAAGAGAGAAGCCCACGACAGGGCATCGTGGCGCACGCCTTTAATCCCAGCACTCCAGAGACAGGCAGAGACAGGCAGGTCTTTGGGAGTTTCGAGGCCAGCCTGGTCTACAGAAGGAGTTCCAGGACAGCCAGGGCTACACAGAGAAACCCTGTGTCGAAAAACAGAGAGAGAGAGAGAGAGAGAACCTCAGCAGAACAGGGTATGGACTACCTGGTTGTTGTCTGGGTGTGGTGTCCACTAAGTCTTCCTGGTTGATATGATGTCTGGGAGAGCTAGGTGTGGTAGTGGTGGTAGTGTACACCCATAGTTGCATCATGTGGGAGGTTGAGACAGGGGGATTACAGTGAGTTTGAGGTTAGCCTCGGCTGCATCACAATCCTTGGCTCAGAAAGATCAAAGTCATTTTTAAAATGAAATAATCACTTCTTGGCCTTTTGACTATAATCTAGTATAAAAGGAAATAAATAAAAACCCTGGGATGGGGGCAGCGGGATGCTCTTCCTCCTGTAAGCAGGAGTTATGGGTTTGCTATCTGCAGACAGAACTCTGTGCAGTGACTAGATCTGAAGTCAGTTCAAATGCAGCCTTCAACCTCACCCCAAGCCTACAGTATCTACATCTAAATTTACGTGTGCGTGTGTGTGTGTGTGTGTGTGTGTGTGGGTAACTGCACACTATATTCCCAGCATTCAAGAAGCAGAAGCAGCCAGCGGAGCTCTGTGAGGCCAGCATGATCTACAGAGTGAGTTCCAGGACAGCCAGAGCTGTCAGAGAGACCCTGTCCCGAAAACAAACAAAAACAAAGCACGAAGAAAGTGAGGAAGGAAGGAGCAAATGAAAGGAAGAGAGACAGGAAGAACCCTGACATTAGACAGAAGGAAAGACACATTTATTACACACGTGGAAACATTGTGAGAAAGCAAGTGCTCAACAGCCCAGTGGAGACTGGCTGCTCATATCCTACTCTCTGGGTAGTGCAGAGAAGAGGGGATCCAGGCAGTTTAGGGGAGAGTGGTCTTGGGGAGAGAATGAACAGACCGGAACAGTCTGTGACAACATCCAGTCTCCCCCAGGGATGAGTAAGCTGTCAGCTTTTTGTTGCTGTGACTAGTGCCTCAGAGAAACCATTTCATGAAAGAAAAGGTTTCTTTTGGCTCCTGTTTTAATGTGTTTTGTTTTGTTGTTGTTTTGAGATGTGCCTGCCTCTGCCTCCCGAGTGCTGGTATTAAAGGAGTGTGCCACTCTGCCTGACTGTTTTATTGGTTTTGCTAAGGTATAGTAGAAACAGACGGAGGTACTTCTATATCCTATATTATAAGGACACATTTGTACTCCATATTGCAGAAAGGAATCAGTATTGAAGTGTAACAATTACATACAGTAAATGGCTTGTTTATTCTGAGTCAACCTCCACCCAGCCCAGGTGTTCCTGGAAGTTAGTACTGCCGGATAGTAACTATACTCAAAAGTGCCTGACCTTGACCTCACTTCAAAATATTGTCCAGTTAAGCATGTACATGTTTGGGTTTTCAAGATAGTGTTTCTCTGTGTAGCCCTGGCAGTCCCAGAACTTGCTCTATAGACCAGGCTGGCCTCGAACCCAGAGATCGGCCTGCCTCTGCCTCCTAAGTGCTGGTATTAAAGGTGTGCACCACCACATGTGTACGTATTTTTGTTTGTTTTTTAAAGATTATTTATTATGTATACAATGTTCTGTCTGCATGTACGTCTGCACACCAGAAGAGGTCACCAGATCTCATTACAGATGGTTGTGAGCCATCATGTGAGTGCTGGGAATTGAACTCAGGACCTCTGGAAGAGCAGCCAGTGCTCTTAACCTCTGAGCCATCTCTTCAGACTGCATGTACATGTTTTAAGTAAAAATAAAATAGTTTGATATGTCAGGAGGAGGAGGAGGAGGAGGAGCCTGAGCCTAGACACTCCGACAATGAAGAGCTAGCCCAAGAGATACTAATGAGAGAGAAACAGGCGAGAGTAAAGGCTGAAGTGATTGATTCCCGTTGTTCCCTTCCCACCCCCTTAAAGCCTGCTGGCTGGAAATGAGACGGGAAGTGGGGTGCACCAGGGACGGTCAGGGGACACTTGTTATTGTTTGGTTGGTTTTTCAGGTATTAATTTGCTGTCATTTTGTCTGCCAACTCTTGAATAAATGACAACTTAGGCTTTGGGTCCTGTCTTTGAGCATTGGTGTTTCTGGAGGCAGGCTGGCTGTTGCACAGGCTTAGCATTCTGTTGCTTCTTTGTTTTTGGAGACAGGGTCTTACTATGTAGCCCAGGCTGGCCTCAAACTAATAGAGATCTGCTGTCTCTTCCTCTGCCTCTGGAGTGCTGGGATTAAAGGCTGTGCCACCGTGTCCAACCTTCGTGGTTGGCTGGCTCCATTTGCTTTGCTTTGTTTTAATAACTGATTAAGTCAACTTATTAAAACAGCTGACTTAGGCTTCTGCAATAGTGACGTCCACCTCCTGGCCTGGCTCAATATTGATGCAAGTAATGTATTTATCAATCTCAGCAGGATCACCTAAGCCATTCAGTAGCCTGTGGCTTCTTATTAGGAATCCCGTGTTTTGGAATCTTTACCAGGTAATTTTCTTTCACGGTTCTCAGTGTCTTGGTAGCTTGTGAACTGGTCAGATTCCCTTTCTCTGCACCTCGGATCAAGTCAGCACACACACTCTACAGAGACCTCACATAGCTGCTGATGAGGGTAATTTAAAGTCAGCGAACCCCGCCTCTGGTTCCACGGTGGTCTTTCCAGTATCTTTTTTTTTTTTTTTTTTTTTTTTTGGTTTTTCGAGACAGGGTTTCTCTGTGTAGCTTTGCACTTGGCAGTCCAGGCTGGCCTCGAACTCACAGAGATCCACCTGCCTCTGCCTCCCGAGTGCTGGGATTAAAGGCGTGCGCCACCACCGCCCGGCTCTTTCCAGTATCTTTAAAAGTCACTGTGACTGGAAGACGACCTGTAGAACCAGAGGTTCTGAGCGACTTTCTCTTTGGAAGAAGCAGAGGTGTGAGTGAAGACAGCAACAAACAGAACAGAGCTCGTCAGCACCCACAGCAAACAGAACAGCTCGTCAGCTCCCACAACGGCACTGAGAGGGCCCTTGCTGTTAGGCCTGTGGTAAGACAGAAACATGGAAGAAAGCTGCTCATCTCACACCCGTCAGGAAAAAGAGAAAGAGGCCTAAGACTGGAGATAGCCCCCAAGAACACACCCCCAGTGGCTGTTTCCTCCAATTTGCCCCCTCCCCGCCCCGCCCCACCCCGGGAGTTTCCACCATCTGCTAATAATGCTAACAAATTATGAATCCCTATCTAGATTGATCCGTTGACTCAGGCAGAGCCATTAGGATCCAATCATCTCTCAATGATTAATGCATCCATCAAGGACTGAGCCTTCAGCACAAGAGCCTGGGGCGGGGTGAGGTAATGAGATTTGGGGGAAGGGACCCAGAACAACTGGATTCTTTCTGAGAAGCCAATCACAAGACAGATAAGGGAAGTTCAGAAAATGCCTCTCCCTGCCCTTTGAGAGAGAAACAGAGGGGACAGACAGGGAAAGACTCTCCTTCAGTCCCAAGCACTTAGCGAGCGAACGTGACATGCTTTGCGGTATCCCTCTCTATGTGTGTGCAAATGAGTAGCAGCTCGAGCATTGCATTTGCTGTGTTAATGTTCATAAAGGGTTCTGGTTTGCAGCTAACGCGTACCTTGGCAACAGAGCACATGCTTAGTGCACACAGGGTAGTCAGACTTTCTCTGGACCACCAGCTCCCAAATAATGGCACAGAGACTTCTTATTAAGTATGAAAGCTCAGCCTTAGTTTAGGCTTGTTCCTAAGTAGCTCTTATATCTTAAATTAACCCATTTATATTAATTTACACTCTGCCATTTGGCTCATTATCTCTCCTCAGTACCGTACACCCGACTTGCTCCATGTCTCACTGGTGAATTCCGCCTCTCTTCTTCCCAGAGTTCCTGTCCCTGCCCGGAAGTCCCACCTATCCTCTCCTGCCTAGCTATTGGCCTTTCAGTTCTTTATTAAACCAATCAGAAGGTGCCTTGGCAGAGACACATCTTCACAGTATACATAAAGATTATCCCACAACACACAAGGCCCTGGGTTCGGTTCCCCCCACCACTCCCCTGCCCACACACAAAGCACTAAACGGGGTGTTGTGTGTAGAGAGGTCAAATAACTACATTTGGGTTTTTGTTTGTGTTTGTCGAGGCAGGGTCTCATTCTATAACCTTAGCTGGCCTGGAACTCGATCTATCTGCCTCTGTCCCCTGAGTGCTGGGACATGGCCACCATGCCAGGCCTACATTTGTTTTGTAACCTGCGACAGTTAATCCACATAGCCTAAGACAACCTGCCTGTTCCTGATAACCTTAGTGCAAGCAGGAAAACCGAAGAGGACCCTTCTCCCCCTTCCCCACACAATGACTTTTTCATGGAATGTGAGGTAAAGGGAGGTCATAGGACACTTGGGCAGGGGGAGAAGGTTGAAAAGAGTTTTGTGAGGCCTGGAAAGATAGCACAGTGGTTAAGAGCACTGGCTGTTCTTCCAGGGGACTCAGGTTCGATTCCCAGTACCCATATGGCAGCTCACATCATCAGTCTATGACCCAATTTCTATGGTATCCAATGCTCTTTTCTGGCTCCCACAGACATCAGGCATCACACATGGTACATAAACATACATGCAGGCCAAACATTCGTACACATAAAATACTAAAGAAAGAAAGCGGGTGTCCAGAAAGTGAAGAAGTGGCCATGAAGAGGACAGCCCAGTGCTGTCCACGGCGTCCCAGCCCCACTCAGTGTTTGCCAAGCAGTGGTGGCAGTGGCATGGGAGTGAGGGAATGAGGGCCCAGGGGTTGTGGGGAGAGTGACTCTCCATTGAGTTGGGAAGAAAATGACTAATGTGGCCAGGAAATCTGTTGCTTACACCATCTTTCTGATAAATATCCAAATTTGAGAATTGTTGGAATATTACTACCAGAAAAGGTGGTTCATCTCATTAAAAAAAAAAAAAAAAAAAAAAAAAAAAAACCTGAATGCCACATGGGAAATGGACTTCATACAGAATTGAAATCTAAATGTGTCAGAAAACTATGATGATAATAGTATAATAGTATAAGATTTTGCAACCTCTGGCCAGAGATGGGCTTCTTGTGTTTATTCTGTGTTCGGTTTTGTTTTTTGACGCAGAGTCCTGCATTATAGTCCAGGAAGTTTCCACCATCTGCTAATAATGCCAACCGATCATGTGGGTTCAGACCTACCATGTAACCAATACAGCCTCAAGCTCACGTCCATCCTATTTCTTGAGCCTCCCAAGTGCTGGGATTGTGGCAGGGATGGATTTCTTAAACACATTTCAAAGCAGAAACTGTAAAAAAAAAACAAAACACATCAACGTTTGATTCCTCGGGACTGAAGATCTCTGCTCAACCTCATGTATTTGGGACATCTAAGTCCAGCAAGGTGCTGGTACAGGAGGTAAGGAAGCCTTTGGGACATGGGTCTCAGTGGCAGACATGGGCCACTGTGGATGGGCCTTTGAGGGTTTAACCTGGTGTCTAAAACAGCACAGGCTACTACCTCTGTTCTTGGTTGCCCACCAGAACTTGATGGTAATGGCTAATCATGCAGACACCATACACTTTGATCATAGGACCTATGAAAATCAAGCTGGTTCTAACTGGAAGCTTCCTCCCCAATGGTTAGTTAGGTTTCCTAGTACCAGAAGGTGGTATAAAGGCTGTTGAGGGAAAAAAAAGTCACCAACAGTATTACCCAGCTATGAACCCTAAAATTACAATAATGACCAGCTTGACAATATATGCCCATCTGTATAACAGTGGCATGGATGTTTTGGGGTAACCAATGGCTTTCTCATTGAAGACCCGCTTCATAGGATTGGGACCATGACTTGGTAGGTCCTATTACTGTTATTATCTTGTCTGTCATATTCCAAGCTGCCCCAGACACCATGCCTTCCATGACATGATGGATCCGTATCTCCCTAGAATGTGAACCCAAATAAACCCTTCCTCCCTTTATGTGTTTATATGAGGTATAGTGCCGCAGCAATGGGACAGTAAGGAATGCAGTTTACTTCCTTGTTTCCAAAGGGCTTCTGAGTATGTATGCCATACACTGAAGATAGAATACAGACTAAAGGTGTGACCTAAGACAATTAAGCAGCCACCAGTTCCTCCCCTGGGTCAGTCCTGCCACCACACCTGGCTTATTGGGGGCAGCGGCCGGGGGGGGGGCGGGGGGGGGGGGCCGGGGCGTGGTATGTTGTCATGGTCTCATTCTGTGGCCCAGGAATTTACGTCACTCAGATGGCAATCCTACTGCCTCAGCTTCTTAAATGCTGGGATTATAAGCATGAGCCACCATACTTGGCAGATTTATCTATTTATTTATTTATTGAAATTTTGTGAGATGTAAGGGTCCTATCAGGGCCTCATGAACGCTGAGCAAGCATTCTATTACCACTGATCTCAGCTTTTGTTGGATTAGGTTTATTTCCACGTGTAAAGCTTATTTACTGTGGAATGTATCTTACTCAATAGCAGATGCTACAGGCCATGGGTCTGGCCCTGGGAAGGCCTTAACCTGGCCTTGGTGTCAGGGTCACTGTTAGTCCCTGTGCTGACGAATTTCCTGGTTCCTCTGGGCAAAATGAGTCAGCCTTATGCTGAGCTAGGACTAACTCCATGATCACTCCCGTTTAGGACTGAGTCTCTCGTGTGTACTCTCTAAAGAGGGGCTGGGATATGTAGCAGGTTTTCTTGGACAATCAGCCCCATTTTTAATTATGAATGCTTAGCCTTAGCTTGTTTCTAGCTAGCTTTTTTTTTTTTTTTAACTTAAGTTAACCCATTTTTATTAATCTACGTGTGGCCCCGAGGCTTGTTTACCTCATCTAAGTACTGTCCACCGCTTTCCTGCTTCCTCTGCATCTGGCTGACTGGTCACCAGCCGGCTGGCCCCTGGCTCTGGCTAGCCCCTGGCTCTGGCTGGCCCCCTTTTCTCTCAGCCTGCCAACCCCTCCCAGCCTTCTTCTGCCTCGCTATTGACCATTTAGCTTTTTATTAGACCAATCAGGTGCCTTAGGCAGGCAAGGTGAAACAGCAACACATCTTTACATAGTTAAACAAATGCAGCATAAACAAAAGCAACACATCTTTACATAGTTAAACAAATATTCTATTCCACAACAGGGATGTACCCCATAGGCACTGGCAGGAAGGCAGGCAGCTCCAACCGTTAGCTGCAGACTCTAAGACAAGCTGTCAACCCTGATAGTGATGTCACTTTGCAGAAACAAGGACCCTGTCTCATGATGTGTTTACTAGCTGAGGTGTCAGATGCCGCCGAGGATGAGTTGTGGGTGAGCTGGGGACATGGCAACACCCACCTGGCTGTCAAGAGGGATCACTCAGAGTTAAGAGCTGCCATCGTGCCAACCTCAACCAGGCCTCCTAGAGGCAGGACATGTCTACCAATGTGCAAACTGCTGCAAGGGGCACTGGAGGCTCATGAGTTTTCTTGGGTCATAGTTAGTCTGCCTGTGTGGTCTTCTTCTCCATCCTCACTGTATGACATACAGTCTCGTAAGCCTTCCAAGCCCCTTTGAAACAAGGAGGTAGACAAAAACAAAAACAAAACAAAACAACAACAACAAGAAAGGCAAACATCTGATGGTGGGATCTACAGTCTAACAGAATTGAACCAATGTCATTTTCTTGATTCTGCAACATCTTATATAATGTCATCATTGGAAGAATTTGTCGATGAGCTTTTAGGGTAAATTTGTTCTGATTTTACAACCTCTTGGGAGTCTGTAATTATTTCAAAATAAAATAGTTAACAGAAGGGTTGGGGATGTATTTCAGTGGTGGAGGCTTGTCTAATGTGCCAAGATCCATTATATATATTAAAAAGAACAGTGATATGCATGATTCTACAATATATATTTTATAGGAACACATAAGAATATAAGCATGGCCTGGTATGGTGGTGCACATCTGGTCTACATAGAGAGTTTGAGGCCACCCAAAGCTATATAGTGAGATCCTGTCTCAAAAAGAAAAGATTAAAAAGAAGAAGAAGAAGAAGAAGAAGAAGAAGAAGAAGAAGAAGAAGAAGAAGAAGAAGAAGAAGAAGGAGAAGAAGAGGAAGAAGAAGAGGAAGAGAAAAGCATGTATGCAAGTATCCTGACTAGTTTTATGTCAATTTGACACAACCTAGAATCCTCAGAGAAGAGGGAGCCTCAATTGAGAAAATGCCTCCATAAGATCAGGCTGTAGGCAAGCCTGTAGGGCGTTTTCTTAGTGACTGATGGGTAAGGACCCAGCCCATTGTGGGTGGGGCCATCCCTGGGCTGGTGATCCTGGGTTCCATAAGAAAGCAGGCTGAGCAAGCCATGGGGAGCAAGCCAGTAAGCAGCTCGCTCCTGTGGCCTCTGCATCAGCTCCTTCCTCCAGGATTCTGCCCTGTTTGAGTTCCTGTCCTGACTTCCTTCAATGATGGGCTAAGATGTGGAAGTGTAAGCCAAATAAACCCTTTCCTCTCCAACTTGCTTTTGGTCATGGTGTTTCATCACAGCAATGGTAACCCCTAACTAAGACAGCATATTAAACCCCTTAAAATGGGAGTCTGTGGGGGAAGGGAGAAGGAAAGAATGAAGGATCCACAGTGCTCCATCAGTGAAGGAGTGTTTGCAGTCCAGCCAATGGGGATTATATGTGGCGAACTGAAATGACATTAACTCCAACCTCCTCACACCTGAGGTCATGTAGTAGAAAGGGTGGGTATTGACAGAATGTTGTGTGTGTGTGTGGGGGGGATCAGTAATGGTAAAGACCCGGCCCTTTCTAATGGAGCCTTGTCCAATGATGTGAAATAATTTCCTCTTTACCCAACAAAAAGAAGGTTGGAAGAGAAGCAGGAGAAAGGATGATGGAGAGCAAAGAGGCTGTGGAGGAAGTTTTAAGGGTACATTCTCTTGAGGGCCGTGGGTTAATGAAGGAACCAAGGGCCACACAGAAACCAGATGAGTCCACAGGCCTGGAAGGGGCCTGGATTCCTGGTGTTTTTCCGAGCAGCTGGTGCTCACAGGGTGCTCAGGAAATTGAAAGTAGTAATTCTTTTGCATAGCCTCCAGGGCCACGATGACCTTTGATGGACCTCTAATTTAGCTGGGCTTGCAGCCTCCTTTCCGACTTCTCCGGCAGTGCCGGGAAGTCAGTGATAACGGAAAGGGTGGGACGATTTCCAAAGCTATTTGCCTAAGTGCGCTCACTACCTGGGCTAGAAGCACAGTCTGTTTTATTTTACTGTGAAGTTGCCTGCTCACGAGGAGGAAGCAAAAGGAAATAATTGAGGAAGTATCTAAAGGTTTATTGACAAGGATGCTAATCTCAACATTTCTCAAGAACCTTAATGTTTCATAGTAGAGACTTAGTTAAAAATTTATGTTGCAGCCGCCGTGTGGGGTTGTATACATGCTTAACCTCCAGAGGCAGGGGGATCCCAAGGAGCTCCAGGCTCCTTGGCCAGCAGGACCTCCATAGCAGACCCTGCCTCAAACAAACAAACAAAAAACCCCCAAAACAAACAAACAAAAACCCCCGAACAAGTGTATATATATATATGTGTGTGTGTGTGTGTGTGTATCTCAGTTGGTAGAGTGATTGTCTATCGTGCATAAAACCTTGGTTTCCACCTTCAGTATCCTATAATTCAGTTGTGATTTTCTGCCATCCCCTTATCCCAGGGATTGGAGGCAGGGGAATCAGAAATTCAAGGTCCTTTTCTCTTTTCCTCCTTCAAAATTCACACTAGTATCCCCCACCCCCGGGTGGCATTACTTTCCACGCTTCCTGCGGTAAACATTTGTTAAGTAACACGTTTTGTAGCTGTGTCAAAATAACCACTGTGTTCTTTTTCTGCTGGAGCTCTTCCTGAGAAGGTAGAAGGACCATGTACTTAGGACTCATCTGGCCCCGGAAGCGCTGGCCCTTGGCCCGTTAGCGTCTCCAGCCTCTTAACCAGCCAGCTCTGGCCAGCTCAGCCACTTACATGCCCAGAACTGGTTATTTCAGGAACGGTCCAGAAAGCTGCTGTCCCTTTCTGGAAGATAGGAGAACCCGGACTCAAGGGCTGAAGAGAGCCGGGCCAAGGTCACTTGATAAGCGCTGTTTATATTTATACTCCTATCTCTTCGCTTACCTCTCCCAACGCTGTGGGTCGCAGGTTATGGGCGGGGCCGTGAGTGGTTTCAGAGGCCACTCTGCATTATGCTCTCTTCCCTTGCCTCCACTGTAAACAATACTTCCATTATTGAGAGTTGACCAAGTGCCAGGTGTGTGCTTCTCACCACGACGCTGAGGCCTCTTTGGTTTCACGCCCACTTTGCAGGTGGACGAAGGCTCAGAGGGGTTAAGACACTGGCCCTAGCTAACACAGCCAGTTAAGTGTTAGTGGATCTGGGTTCCAGTTCTATAGACAGGAGCACATTCCAGCTGGGAAGACCACCAGCGAGGCCGAGCAAGCCAAGGTCAGAGAGAGGGTGCAACCCAGTGGACTTGGGCCTATGTGGGCGGCACAGCCATGGTGGGGGGCTCTGGCCCGACGTGGGTAGCATCGTGTCCAGAACAGCTGGATCAGGCTAGGGGACCGCCGTGCAGCGGCAGCGGAGCCAAGCAGGGCGCCTCCGGACAATTCCCGAAAACGCGAGCGGGCGGGCGGGGCGGGGTGGGGGCGGGGCTTGGCTGCAGTCCAGCATTTCCGGGGACACCGCGCAGGACGCAGGGTTTTCACGATACACTCCGGGTCCCCAGGGACGGCGACCGGACGGCCTGGCAGTGGGAGTGCGTCAGTGGAACTTCGCGGCCACGCGGAAGTAGCCTTGTCGTGGGAGGTAACTCCTTCCAGGTAAGGGGACCGGACGAGGTGGGAACCGAGATCTGGGGGTGACAGGACAAGCCCAGGCCTTCGTCGTCGCCCCCCACCTTCCTCCCGCCCCTCTCTCCCAAGAGGGCGCCACCTGCGCGCTCTGATGGGCACCAGCCGGGGCCAGTGGGGGAGCCTGTTGCCATGGCAGCGCAGGAGGTTGGGCCCACGTTCCCATGGCCACCGGGGGCCTCTGCGCGAATCCTTTAACAGTGTCTTTCAACACCGCCCCCTACTCCTGAGCCCCGAGGAAAATCACTAGGAAAAAGGCCTTGGGCTCCTCCTCCGAACGTTTGTGGTTGTGACCTCTGAGTTAGGGCCTTTGTCATGGCTTCTTTCTTCTTTGAACAACAAGGTGGATTAAGAGGGAGGAAGATGGGGTCCTGGGAATGAGGCCTTCGCCTCTTCTTAGCTGTTCTAGTCTCGCACAGAGGCTCAGGGGGCCTGGGTCACGTCGGGAAGGTCGTCAAACCTCTGTTCACATCCCCTCACCTGTCATGTGAATATGTTATTTAAGAATCACAGGAAGGGCTGGTGAGATGGCTCAGCAAGATCGGCGCTTGCTGCCAAGCCCAAGGACCGGAGTTCTGTTTCCAGGACACACACAGTAGAAAGAGAGCACCTCGTCCTCTGACCACCCGTGCCGTGCAGCTTGGCACGTGCTATGGCCATCACACACGCAAACACACGTAAAGTAAGGTAGTAAATAATTTGAAAGAAAGAAAAAAGAGTCTGGAAGCATTCTAAGGGTCGACTGCAGTAAGAACTGGATGCTTTGGAACTGGAGATTTAGGAATCACCCTTTCCCTTCCCTTCATTTTCACAGGGGAAACTGGGACCAGAAAACTGAGATACTCAGTTATCCCCAGGTGACTCAGTAAATTGATGGAAAGGTCAGGATTTGAACTCAGTCTCTTGATTCCTAGGCTGTGGCTGAGAGTGATTTTTTTTTTTCTGAAGTTCATAGAAATAAGAGTTACATCTTTTTGCACTTAAGGTCTTGAGCTCTTAATGACAGGTGATCTGAAAATGGCGTGGGGTGTGTGTGGTGGAAAGGCTGGTAAGATAAAGGTGCCTGACCTCAAGCCTGATGACCTGAATCTGACCCCAGCTCACGCCTGGTGGAAGGAGAGCGTGGCCTCCTGAAAGTGCCCTCCGACCTCTGCATACATGATACACATGCTCCTCCCTCCTATATAAATAAATAATGCCATTTAAACAATGATGGCGGGCTGGAGAGAGGGCTCAGCGGTTAAGAACACTGACTGCTCTTCCAGAGGACCCAGGTTCAATTTCCAGCACCCACATGGCAGCTCACAACTGTCATAACTCCAAGATCTGACACTCTCACACAGACAGACAGACAGACATGCAGGCAAAACACCAATGTACATAAAACAAGAATAAATTATTATTTTTTAAAAAAGAGAGAGAAATGGTGGAGATGGGGCCAGTGAAGCTTCGTGGTAGAGCACAATGTTTAGTAGCTTGTGTGGGGCCCTAGATTTAATCCACGGGATGAAAGTGAAATGATGGAGAGGGTGATAACAGGTGAGGGCTGGGGATGGTGGTACACGTCTTTCCTAGCACTTGAGAGGTGGAGGCAAGAAGATTAAGAGTTCAACGTTATCCTCAGACACATGAAGTTGGAGGCCAGCCTGGGATACATGAGATCCTGTCTCAAACAAAAACCAAGCAACCAAATGAAAAAAACCCGAGAACCCCAGAGCACAAGACCTATGCACCAGGAAGACTTTCAGCTCTGCCTGGGGCAAAACCCACCATGTCCTGCCATTTTCCGGTCATCTGCAATGTCCCCATCGTAGTTTATTGTATATGTCTTATTATGTACATTGTAAACCGTGACATCCATTTTGGTATCATGTAATCCAGGCTGGCCTTGAACTCTATGTCACCAAGGGTGACCTTAAACTTCTGGCTCTCCTGCCTCCACTTCCTGGGTGCTGGGATTGCAGGCGTGCTCTACCTGTTCCATGCAGTGCTGGGACTCCAGCCTGAGCTTTGTGCATGTCAAGCAAGCATTCTACCAAGCGAGCTACATCCCCAGGCTCTGGGACCCTCAGTTTACTGTGGTATCTGACAGGAGCCAAACGTTCAACCACCCTCCAGCCTAGCATCTCTTGTGAAGCCACCAGAGCTGATGAGAAGCAGAGCAAGAAAACCCTGGGCTGCCCTAAGGCAAGGAAATGGAGCCATGGCCTCCCTTCCCCCCCTCCCCTCCCCCTTGGGGTGGTGCCTTTTCTTATTCACACTCTTTGAGAAGAATAAGAGAAAGGTAGGTAAAAAGGGATCCGGGGAATGAATAGAATGAATCACTTGGAAATGATTTGAGACAGTCACTGAGAGCAGAAAATGCGTTTGTTCCTTTAGTCAACATTTACTGGCTGCCTGCTAGTTCCAAGCTCTGCCCTGAGGCTGGACATTTAAAAACCCAAGGTAGGCTGGTCTGCTGTCTGCACTCAAGGAGCTTGTGGAAAGGATGGGAAGAGAGGGATGAGGTGTGTAAATGAGTGCTTTACTGCAGCATAATGAGTGCCTTGATGGAAACCTGAGCCCAGGGCAGAAGGAGCCCAGAGGAGCGGAGCTCCGGAAGTCCGTTGAAAACAGCAGGACCTAGTCTGTGCTGCCTGGGAGTCCTTCTGGAGCTCACCAGGCTTGCCCTGGCGACTGCCCTTGTCAGAGACAAAGGAATGAGTGAGTGAAAGTGTCTAAAGATATGGAGTCCAGGATGGGCAGGCAGTCTCTTCAAAGAAGCATTTAATGAATGGTGATGAATTATGAAGTCCTTGCCTGCAGCAACTCTGGTCATTTCATCAGTTTGAGCCATGCGTAGAAGGCAGCCAGCCAATGAGAAACAGTGTTGGATGAATGGAAGGAGGGAGGGAGGGAGGGAGGGACAAAAGACAGCTGCTTGTATCATCACAAGCAGGAATGGTTTGCGAGTGGAGACAAAACCAGGTTGAAACTTTGTTTCTAGGTATAGTGTCCACGTGAGTTCTGGAGACCGCAGATCCCTGGCCCCAAGTCTTCACCTGGCACACGTGTGGCCCTAGCAAGCCCCCGCAGCTTGTCATCTGTGTAGTGGGAACATAACACAATAACTCTGATTTCCCTCTGCTTTGAGGATTAAAAATTAATAAGTGTGGAAAGACCCGCAGAATGTCTCACAGTCAGTGCGCAGGAAGATACTACCTGTATAACTGTCACGTGTGATTTAGGTGGGGGGAGTTTGCCAAGTACTTCCTGTGGAGGTCACATAGCTATTCCAAAAGAAGGGAGAGTTCTCTTTTTACCGGATAAAGGCTGATTTCGTAAATTCCCTGTTTCTGCAGATGAACGCACTTTAAAGAAGTGGTTACAGCTGGGTGTGGTGCTACACACCTGTAATTCCAGCACTTAGGAGCCTGAGGCAGGCGGGTAGTAAAGTTTGTGGTCTGTCTGGGTCAAGTTCAAGGTCAGTCTAGGCTTTATAGTAAGACCCTGTCTCAAAACCAAAACCAAGCCAGGTGGTGGCACACTCCTGTAATCCCAGCAGAGGCAGGTGGATCTCTGCGAGTTCAAGACCAGCCTGGTCTACAAAGCAAGTTCCAGGACAGCCAAAGCTGTTTCATAGAGAAACCCTGTCTGGAAAAACAAAAAACAAAACAGACAACAAAACTCCAAAAACCCAGACCGACAACAACAGAAAGAAAAAAAAGAGAGAGAGAAAAAACAAGGCTCCTCACCGTGTCCTAGAGGAGGGTGCCTATCTGGGGCACATCAGGCAAGCGTTCTAACAGCTAAGCTGTATCCCCAGGCCTTGACAAGGATTTTTTTTAATTGTATGTTGTATGTGTGTGTCGCCACATGTATGTGAACCACATTTGTGCCTTCTGCCTGTGGAGTTCAGAAAGTATTGGACCCCCTGGAAGTGGAGTTAGGGGTTGCTGTGAGCCTCTGCATGGGTGCTGGGAACAGAACCTGGATCCTCTGCAAGAGCAGCAAGTGCTCTTAACCAGCGAGCGCTCTCTCCAGCCTTGACGAGGATCTTTTTGAAAGTAGAAGAAAGCTCTGCTTCCTGTTCCCCCGGCAGCAGCACATCATCCTTAGGGATCCCAGCGCCCGGAATCCCACTGTGGAGGAAGGGCCTCTGCTCTGCCGCACTGGCTGCAGGCTGTGGTGAAAGGCTTACGGTAGGTGAGGTGCCGCCGCATCGTGATGGAAATCTGTGGTTGCTCTTTCAGGGGGTTCTGAAAGCCACGGAGAGTGGCACATAGCCTACTAAGAGCTCCTTCTTCTGGGGTGTCTCATGGTATACATCTGGCAATAAGAATCCCTGGGGTTTTCTAGTATTGCCAGAGGACCCATCCAGGTAGGAGTCTACCTCATACCATCTCTGAGTGTGTCACCTGATATCACTTCTTTTTTTTTTTTGGGGGGGGGGTTTCAAGACAGGGTTTCCTCTGTGTAGCACTGGCTGTCCTAGAACTCACTCTGTAGACCAGGCTGGCCTCAAACTCAGAGACTTGTCCACCTCTGCCTTCCAAGTGCTGAGATTAAAGGCATGTACCACCACCACCACCGGGCCTGATACCATTTCTTTAGGGTGGCAAATTTGCATATTGCCATGGTGGAACATTCCTAGAAATGGCCACCCTGTCAAGACACTGTTGGAGTTGAAGGAGATCAGGGGCAAAACTCATCTTCCAGCTCCACCACTCTCCTAAGACACA